AGAAAAAACAGGATATGCAGATACTTATAGAACTACAGGTTACTGTGTAACAGTGTGTGTGGCGAGTCCATCGGTGTATAGTGTGTGTTTGTGTGTTCTTGTGTCGATGGGTACATGCACCGCAGTGACTCACCGTGATGTGTGTGTTGGCAGGGAGGCCCAGCGAGATATTCGGCAGGGAGGGTGAGGTGTAGAGACTCAGAGGACTCAATGTCCCATCAGCCCCCAGCGTCTGATGGAGAGACCTCAGCTGCAGAAAAACAAGCAAGCAAGCAGTTTTAGTGTCCTGCACAGGGAGAACTCAGTTTGTTCAATTTAGCACATACTGGGGCAAAATATAATTAACTGCTTCTTCTTCTTGTTACAGGAGAAGACCATTTCCTGGAGGTTTCTTGGAAAAGCACAAAAACAGGAAACGTCCATGGCATTTGTTCCACACTCGCTCAACTTAAATAAACAGAGGAGTCTTGTCAGCCTTGAAGGCCTTTAAGAATTACTCCATACAGCCTGCTTTAACATGCATTTGATACAGTTGTGCCCAGTATATTATCCATATTCAACACCACCCTTAGAAATATGCCTCTGGAATAAAATGAAAAAAATGAAATCACTCTGTCTTTGGCCATGCTTGTCTTTAATCTCTAACTAGAGCCCGACTGATATCTCAGTATCAGTGTTTATAATGCCCAACAAATGAAAACTCAAAAGGTAAAGAGACAGGAAACCATGTTATGAGCACTGATGTTGGATAGTTTGACCACCAGAGGGCGTTCTGTGCACTTGTGTAGCCAAACACAACAACCAGTTAATTCAAGTGGCGTCGAGCAGAGTGTAAATGAGTAATCCGAAACATGGTTATTTAACTGCTTTGTCATATTATCTTCATAAAGACTTACAACAAAAACATAAAAAAATGTTCATGTGTCTTTAAAGTCATATACTGAAATAACCAATCAAAACCAACCAACTCTGCTGAGGCTACAACTACGGTTTGTCTGTTAGGTGAACTCTGGATATCATCTTAGTATAGTTTCTTTCTTATCAACAAAGCAGCAAAACCTATTGCAGATATGGCACATCTGGTGGTGTACCACAGGGTTCCATTATGGGACCTATGTAATTTGCATCACACACTCTACATTCCTAAAAATAAGGGCACAGGAAAAGTGTATAATTCCACTGAAACCCTTTAACACTAATCACTGTACCTCATTCACGAGTAGTAAAGGCTACGTACTTCAAATTATTCTTGATTTTATTCTCCAGTATCGAGAATCAATACTCAAATTATAATTTTACATTTAGATTTGTAGGTTTTGCTTTATTTTCTCCAGAAATAACTGTAGACATTACAGAAGTTTGATCTTGTAGGGGTGGTGCAGATGCCTCACAGCAAAACGATTCTGGGTTTTCTGTTATGCTCTTGTGAAACTGTAATTAGAGGTTCAAGATTTGTTTCTGTAAGCACAAACCACCAGGGTACAAATAAAATCCCCCCTCCAGGGTGCAGGGAGTACTTTAGAGTTTCCCTCCAGTGACTCTGAACCACTAAAGGTACAGTTAGATATTTATAGTTAGTATTTTTGCAGCCCTATTTCTGCGTCACAGTGAGCAGTTTTATCTTTGACATTTGACAAACAATAAAAATTCGAGGATGTTTTCTTTTCCAAGATTGCAGTGCCAAAATGATTTATACTTTGGCTGTGACCCAAACAGCATCAAAGTATGCACAGCAAACACAACGTACAGAACAGAAAGCACAACTAAATTAAATTAAATGCTGTCTTTTGCTGCTCATCATCACTTCCACACAGCTGCTTACATGTCGCCTGTTACAGTTTCCCCCATATGGTCATTTTTGATTCAGTGCTCCACACTGAACTGCAGGGGGCAAACTCGAGCTTCGTGTCGAGTTTGAAGAAATGAAAATGAAGCCAGCCTATGTGTGTGCGCACGTGTACCTCAGTCTGTATGTTGGGGACTGATCCAGTATTGCCGTTGGCAATAGCTGTATTGGAACTGTTGGGACTGCTGGGACCTGACCCCGGAGCACTGTTACAGAGAGAGGAAACTGGTGGAGAGACACAGACACAGGAATAAATCAGCAGCAAATTCATTTTAAATGTCTGATTAAAGCAGCTATTCACACTAAACACTCTGCACCTGAGAGCTTATTTGCATTTTGCACATCTTCTCAGAATGCAAACCTAAGCGTCTCTGCTCACCTGATATCTCTATGGCTCTCTTCTTGAAGGTGCTGATGACCGTTCCGTCCTTCCTGCGGAGGAGAGGGGAGCTCCGCCTCTCTGCCACCTTTTGCTTCAAGCGTGAACGCACCTTCAGGTTAGGCTCAGAGACTGGACGAGTAAAGAGAGAGGGGAGATAAAACTGTTCAGCTCGGAGACATCAGTGTAACGCCGACCATTTCCTGTAAATACTACGCTGTGCTCGGAACGCAGGTGAAAGAAGAACAGTTATTTTGTCGGCTGCTGATCTGACTTGTTTCTTTTTCATTATAGGTCACTGGTAACATGCAGTGGTTTGTTTTGGCAGAAGTCTTCGGTGATATTTTAAGTCACCTGGTGACTTGCCAACAAGATTCTATCAGGGCAGACTGAGAAGTCTGCTAATCCTACATTACAATTTGGCTGGGTCGTTTGCTAAACGAGCAGCCACAGTGGATTTTAAGATATTTTTGGTGTATGGGTCAAGGTGAGGATAATAAACAGTAGAAGGGAAAACATGAAGTTTTCAGTG